TGGATTGATCAAGTTCAAACTTCACACACACAAGGTACATCATGTCACAAATATGTACGTGCATTTGTTTCATGATTTCATTAACGATAGCCAAATGGCGGCCTCTTTAAGGTCGAAAATGCATTGAAATCGCACATTTTCACCATTCCGAACCCGGATCTCAGTTATGCATGGACGGATTTTGTTCAAATTTGGTACATACATTAAACATAATAGGACCTTGATGCACGTCATTTTTTTTTCGGATCAAGTTCGAAATGGCCGACTGGCGGCCATTTTGTTTTAATAAATTCAGTTCTGGATCCGTATCCAAGACATGTCTGGATTGATCAAGTTCAAACTTCACACACACATGGTACACCATGTCACAAATAGATATGTGCATTTGTTTCATGATCCGCTTAACAATAGCTGAATGATGGCCATTTTAAGGCCGAAAATGCATCAAAATCACGTATTTTCACAATTCCGGAACCTGATCTCAGTCATGCATGCATGGATTTTGTTCAGATTTAGAACAATGTGTTGTACATATGCAGGTGCATTTCGGTCATGATCTGCTTTGAATGTATATGTCACTCAAATATGAATGGAACGGGGACGTGTCATTGACAATGACTTGTTTCAAATATTTTACATTCAACTCATCAAAAATCAGTGAAAATAAATTCCATACAAGACACCCAAAAAGTCTTTTTACAGTAAGTGCCAAAAACAAAATTGTCATTGCGTTCACTGAAGACCATTTGCATGTGTGCATTGTGATGTTTGTATGACTTAGCTCGGTAGTTTATTTTAGGAAGGCTTTTTGGTAAGATTTCTTAGAAACTGTGCAAAATCCTAAAGCCATTATGATGCTTACAAGGGCCAGTGAGCAGTTTTCTATGATTGCACAAAGTTGGAATGCTTAAAAGGTTTAGTGAGAGGTTTTCTGCAGATCATACAAAGTGGGATTGCAAAAATAACTTCTTAAATTTTATATGTATTTAAAAAAAAAAATATATATATTGCCGGTGCCCAGCCTTCCAATGAAAGAGTATATTTTTTTCAGATTTCCAGAGAAGAAATTGCATACTCTAGATAGTGACCAGGATGCATTGCTGTTACTCAGACAAATATCAAATCAGAAACTCAGAGAGTTGAAATACAGAAATATTAGGCCGCATCTTTTAGCCAGAAATGTAATCTTTGAACCCAACAGTGATTCAGTAAGTACCCAAGATGAACAACTGTATCTCTACTCTTTAGAATCTAAATTGTAACATTAACAACGATTGTCACTTATTGAGTGTTTTTATTACATGTAAATAAACAGTGTATTTTACACAGTTTGTACACGTAGCATGAAATGCATATCAAACATGTGTTGCGACAACCACTGCAACTCAGTGTTTGGCCATACATGGTTACAGAATGGTACAAGACTTAATTTAGCAAAAGATGTTGACACTTACTGTCATAGGACCCAGCGAATTTTTCGCTGCTACAAAATGTAATGGTTTTGAAACTATATGTGATAACCGTATGACTTCATATATTGAAATTATCTAACTCTCTATTTGTAGTTATTTTTTAAAAAAATTGTTTAATAATTATTTTTATAATGGCTGCTGCAACATACATGTAGCTATCAGCATTTGATGTGTTGACCTTTCTATTAAGTGTTTCTTTCTTCTGTTTATTATGATTTTTTACCCTGTAATCTGATTTGTTGAAAATTAATTCCTTCAAATTCAAGTTGGTAAAAATATTCTCTTGCAGGATGTTGTTGGGACTTTAAAAGTAACTGGTTTTCTACGAGGTTCTCCCCTATCAGTGAATGGAATAGTCCATTTACCTGGATTCGGGGACTTTCAGATGAAACAGATTGACCTGGCATCTGACCCTTGCCCTTTGAACCCCAGAGTAGTGAAGAACAAAAAAGAGAACATGCAAGTGGTAAGGTTTTCTGCAATCGATGTAAATATTTTACAAAATATTAAAAATATTCGTTGATGTCAATGAGATATCTTTAACACTGTTTCCATGGTTACAGGATGATGATACTTCACCTATGGATGAAGATATCAAAGTGTTAGAAGTAGCTAATCCTTCAAAACAAGAATCTTTAGAATCTGAAGTCATACCTGACCCTATGGAGGGTGAACAAACATGGCCGACAGTTGACGAACTTGCAGAAGCTGAAGGTTGGTTTATTTGTGTGATAATGAGGTTATTACGAGAATACCTCAAAGTATGCACAAAGACAGAACAGTAGAAGTATCGACCGATGCGCATCAGAGGTCGATGCACGGCGTACTGTCTAAGTGCATACTTTGAGGTATCCTCGTAATAACCTTATTGTACATCTTTTCCTTCCAAGGATACACCATTGGAAATGCCAAAATCAGCGTGTGAAATCAATGTGTGGAGTCCGGTCAAACCCTGGTGGCAGCCATATTTGTTTTTATTATTAGACGACGCTTACATGTGTAATCATTCCATATTTGGAATTCGCATTTCCCAATATGGTAGGATGAAAATACCCTGTAAAATACCGCAAAAATATGGCACGCTGTATTGATATCAAATATTTTTCAGACCTCACTTGGATTTCCCATGGGAAATAATTTTATAATAATCTGCATTTTCTTTTGAATCATTTTTAGTCCCTGTTCGGACGCAGTCCGAAAACGGGGACTTATGTTTTGACCTCCGTGTGTCTGTGCATGTGTGCGCGTGTGTGTACGTGCGTGTGTGCGTCTCTGCGTGCGTCCGGACTTGTATCTTAGAAATGCCTGGACCAATCACAATCAAACTTCACACATACATGATCATACATGATATTATACATATGCACGTCAATTTGTGTCACGATCTGATTCAAGATGGCCGAATGGCAGCCATTTTTGTGCTAAAAAATCATCAAAATCAAGCATTTCTCGGCAGTTTACAGATGGATTTTGTTCAAACATGGTATATACATTAGACATTATAGGACCTTGATGCACATCATTTTTTTTTGATCTGATTCGAGATGGCCGAATGGCGGCCATTTTTGTGCTAAAAAATCATAAAAATTAACCATTTCTCAGCGGGATTTTGTTCAAACTTGGTATATACATTAGACATTATGGGACCTTGATGCAAATAATTTTGTTTTTCAGATAAGATTCAAAATGGCCGACTGGCGGCCATTTTATATTAATGAACGTGGTTCTCGTGCCATAATTCTGACTTGCTTTCACTGATTATGTTCAAATTTTAAATATTCATTATACATCATGTCATAGATAGACAGATATATTGGGTCGACGATCCTATTCAAAATGACCAAATGGTGGCCTTTTTTGTGCTAAACAATAATCAAATATCAAGCATTTCTGGCATTTATGGATGGATTTCGTTCAAACTTGGTACATGTATTAGACATTACAGGTTCCTGATGCACATCAATTATTTTTCAGATCGAATTCAAAATGGCTGTCTGATGCCATTTTGTTTTAATGAATGGGCTTCTAGACCCATAAATCCGACTTTTTTTGACTGATAATATTTTCAAATTTTAAATATTCATTATACGTCATGTCATAGATAAACAGATTGATTGGTTTGACTATCCTATTCAAAATGGCCGAATGGTGGTCATTTTTGTGCTAAAAAAATCATCAAATATCAAGCATTTATGGGTGGATTTCGTACAAACTTGGTATGTACATTAGACATTGCAGGTTCCTGATGCTCGTCATTTTATTTGTCAGATTGGATTCAAAATGGCTGACTGGCAGCCATTTTGTTTTAATGATTGGGCTTCTAGAGCCATATCTCTTAAATGCTTTGACTTATTATATTTAAATTTTATATAACCGTTGTACATCATGTTATATATATACATGTATTCAAAATGGCTGATTTTGAATGCTGTTCCAGAGCAATTTCTCTCGATATGGACAAGTACTTGTTTGACGATCAGATACAAATGTCAATAATTTTAATGTTAAAAAAATCATATTCCTGACATGGTTATATTCCAGCTATATTACTATAAACAAAACTATATATCTTAAATTTGATAACTAACTGGGACTGTGCCATGCATGGCTTGTTTTCAAAAGTTTTGATGAAAAAATATCATACTGTAGTACATTGAACTTTTTTTTTTCAAAGCTCAACATCATTTGTCACTACATGTATATATGAATGTCTGTTGCCAATATTAGACTACCATGAATAAATAAACTGATGTAACCAAAATAATGTTATGCATGATACAGATCAAATGTAGTCAGTTTTCGCAGATAAAATAAATGTTTTCAACCTCAACTGCGTTTCAGTTTATATGAGTTTGTGATGCTTTCGTAAAGCTTAGTGATGTCCTTTGTGTAATATGTTACACAAATATGATCCATTGTAGATGGAAGCTTTTATCTTTCTAAAAGTTGTTAACCTTCAAATTTTGTATTGATGATTTTCCCATATTCATCCTTATATTAAGATACTATGTACTGTGAAACATCATGACTCTACTTCTAAATTTGTTCTCTACTATTCAAAAATTCATCTTTCCAGCTGCCCAGAAAGCTGTTGCACAGAAGCGTAAAATTCTAAAGAAGGTACCAAAAGGAACATCCGAGTACCAATCGGCATGGATTATAGATGACGATGAACAAGTCATTGATGATGACGATGATAATGAAAGCGTAAGTGGGATATATGTTATTATCTGATATCACTTGTTTGTCCCGTTTTTGAACACGGTACGAAAACGAGGAATTATGAATTGACCCCTGTGTGTTCTTCCATCCTATTGCAGATCACATTCAATCTCACTCACACATCTTATATCTTTGACTACATATGCACGTCCATTCACGATTCAAGATTTTAATTCATCAAGGGCAAGCATTTCCAAGATTCCAGAATGAGATATCAGTCAGAATAGATGGATTTCATTAAAACTTGGTACATACATTGAACATTTTGGGACTTTGATGCACATCATTTTGTTTTTCAGACCAGATTCATAATGGCTGACTGGTGGCCATTTTTGTATTAATGAATGTGGTTCCAGAGGCATAAAGGATGCATCTCTGGCATGCCTTGCCCAAACATGGTCAAACTTTCCATAGACAGCATGTCACATTATGCACATTAATTTGTATTGAAAAAAATATGACTTTGATGGTTCATATGAGTTACAATCTGAGAATTAAGTGTGTACTCAGAATTTCAGCTTGACACCGGATTGGATGGCAGTTCATTTGCGGTTGTGATCACTGTTTTTGACAATAGTACAATTATTAATTATTCAAAATAAACAAGTCAAATGTGAACAATGTGTTATGAGTTAGTGTCACTGTCAATGCATCATGGAAAAGATCATATGCATTGTTGTCTAGGTGCTGTTGTAATACATACATTTTGAATGTGATTTACTTTACTATATCATCAGTATGATATGCACAGTGGTTATGTAATAATTTACCGCATTATGAAGTAAAGTAGCCATAAGTAGCTATTTTCATGGTAGAATTTGTACATATACTTTCAAATTAAGCCCAAGTATGAGAAAATGCTTAATAAATATACTGTTATGATTGCCATTATGCTATGCAAAGTAATATACATGTATAAGATGAGATTCTAAACAATGTTATTGTTTTCTGTGTTCTTTATATACTTAGGATTCTGGCAGTGATGATGATGATGAATTTGCTGCCATAGAGGATTCAGAAGAGGAAGATAGTGAAGAAGATGGAGGAAAAATGGATTATGAAACGGTACGTCAACGTGTTCAGTGTCGTCATTCTATGTCAGTAGTGCAGTGTCATCCATTGAGATTCCAGTGATGAAAATGTTTTCTGGTAGCTCATATTGTAAAAAAATCGAGTGTAGTTATAAGATAGATAGCAGAATTTTGGTATAAACTTATAGTTGGTACGGATTATAAAGAAATTCTGATGAATGCTATTTTTCTTTTTATGAAATAATGCTCTATTATATAAACTTGGATTCCTATGGGAATTGCTTCAAAAATTACCAATGTCAAATTTTCGCAAAAAAAAATGCATTTTATTCTGAGTGGTAATTAAGTACTTAATTTAATTACTGTCACTAAATGCAGTTTTTTTTTTTGCACATTCTTAGATTTATCTCACTTTGCCATGTTTATTTGTTTCAGATGACAATGACCGAGATAGACGACGATGAACAGTATGATAAAGGTATTGATGAGGAACAGGAAAGGTTGATGTAAGTATTCAACTTGATCTTCCTGGTTCTTATCAGTCAACAGATGATACTTGTTGTTTTTCAGTAAAGCATTCAACTGATATGTCATCAAATATTTGGATGCACTTTCAGTTACAATGTATTTCATTTTGTGGCAAATACAATTACAAATTTTATTTTATAGTTTGTTTTATACATGTACTTTAAATGATACTTGAAAATTATTAATAAAGTGTCACTTTTGTTGTGCAGCATGTGCTTTTTGTGAACATGTGTTGTACGTTGCATGGGAAACACATTGAAACATGACAGTGAAAGATGATACTTTAATATAATAATTTCCATATTTCACTTAATAAAATTGTTTTTTTAAGTTTTTCAGTTAGGCCATTTGAGGATAGCGTCTACTCAGCTAAACTGTTCTATAGTAAAGAATTATGGGTATTTTTCGGGGCAAAATAAAATGTTTTTGGTGTTTGCTTGTATGACTTTGCCCCCTCCCCAAATGCCCATAAATCTTCTTGATACAACAGTTTATTTGAAGGCAATGCTACCTATGAATGTACTATTGGATGCAGATTAAACTGACTTTAGGTCAAGTTTCGCAAACAAAAGTTTTTAATGCAGAATTTATAGAGGGCGCTTCGAAAACCTTGGCTATTTTGATAGTGAATGACTACTATCAAAATAGTTTCTGACAACAAATTGATTATTAGTCTGAAAACAGCGATTTATAAATTCCTCATGACCTCTATGCGCGAGCGTGCATTTGTTCGTATCCGGGTATATTTCACACCAGACAAACCACATGCATTTTTGTGATCATACCCAAAATGGCTGACTGGCACCTGTTTTGTTTTCGCAAATGCAGTTCTCGGAGCCATATCTTGTGCATGTCTTGAAGTTAAAACTTCACATATACATCACACATCAGGTTTTATATCTTGCATCTATAATACTATATCATTGACAATGAATTGTTCTATTTTGTCCTAGGTGGGAGAAATACATTGAACAACGTCATAATGAAATGTTTCCAGATGAAATTGACACACCTATGGATACAGCTGCTAGAATTAGATTTCAGAAGTAAGTTCTGTGACTTCATTTCACTGAGGAGTTGAAAGATGGAATCACAGTGCATGTAATATCTGTCAGATAATTAGACAGTGTTATCCACAGTTATTGCACATTTCAATGTGTCTGTAAAAAGTTTTAATACTAATGACTATATTTTTGACTCCCGTGTGCGAAGCACAAAAGGGAGTTTTTGCAGTTACCCTGTCTGTATGTCTGTATGTATGTATGTCACTTTTTTTGTTCCACCGTTATCTCAAGAACCACTAATCAAATTTTGGTGAAACTTGGTACATAGATGCTCTGGGATAATGCGCAGAGTTGATTAGGTTTTGGTAAAAATCTATGAATATTAATTACCTAATTTACATGATAATTAGCTGATTTTTAGC